AGCATTCCAATAAGTCACATTATGGAATTGTCAAGAAATTTGTGCAACAAAACCGCGAATAATTGTGAAGGAAGAAAGAAGAAGTTGGAAGGATGAAAAGAAAAATTTTGGAGGAGATCGCCTATTTCGTTCCCTCTTTTATTTTCCCGCGATACAAATGAATCGTCAACGAAAATCGTTGCCTTCTTGGCCTCGATCCGGATTCCATCGCAAAATTATCGCGCGAAACTCTCGACATCTGGCCCGATTTTTTTCACTCGTCGGATACTTTATCTCGCGTTTGTTCGATGCGAGAGTTTTTCTGTTGGTCGAGGGGCGGAAAATTGTTGGATAATTCCTCCCTTTCTTCAGGAGTAGAGAATATATATATATTTCCGATTTATCTGGAATAAATATATCCTCTTCGAATAAAATTAACGACGAATATTTGAAACAATATATATTCCAATAAATTTCACACATAAAAATGTGAAATAATTTTCCTCACCACTGTTCTGTATTATCCCAGATAAATAGATTCAATTCATATTTGCAGCGAGAAATGATTAAATAACGGTATTCAACTTTCAGAATTTATAATTAACTCTCTCTCTCTCTCTCTTTCTCTCTTCTTTTTTAATTATCCTTCCCTTTTCAAAGTTTATTATTCCCCGTTTAATTAAAATCGAAAATAAAAAAAGAACCGACGCCGCTAATAACGTTATAATCGTTAAATCGTGAAACGTGTCTCAACGTAAAATTGATAACGAAGGGGACATTTGTCGTACATGCATCGAGTCTCAAGTTTTTTTTTTTCAAAAATAAGAACGCAATAAGAAGTGAAACTTTTGCAAACTTTCGAAGGCGAATAGCAATAGCCAAGCGAAGTTTCTTCTTTCTCGTCTTAAAACTTTCTTAACTTCTTGTATTATATCGGCTGCCACACACTCGATCCGAACTGACTCGAGAAGAAATATCATCTTCCGTGATCGTGACAAAGTTTTTAAAAAGAGAGAGAGAGAGAAAAAAAGAAAATAGAACGAGAATGACTTTGTAACACGAACACAAATACACAATTTCATCCGTACAATTTTTCTCACAAATAATCTGCGAACTAATTTACTTTTCTTTCTCTACGAATCCTTTCCTTTTCTTTTTTTTTTTTACGTAATCTTTTCTTATCTCATTTCTTATCAATTAAAAGAGATGCTCGAATAAGACAGAATTTTCTCGATCCGATAATTAAAACACTGCGATTCCATTCAAGGATATTGGAATACAATGTGGCCAACGTTTCTCCCCCGAGAGTATCTTCGATGAAAAGGGCGGCAGTACGCAGTCAAATTTGCATATTCACGAAGGCAGAAGAGTCGTTCCAGAAATTTCATCGTCCAAAGAATGCAATTACGCGGCTGTGAGCATGTTGATAATTGCGTCGAAGCAAATTGCGATACCGTTTCACTGATTATGAATTAACCACGCTGAAACATTTTGTGGATAAAAGGATAAAAGCACTTTGAAAGTGATCCGAGCATCATGATCCGGATAATCTTAATTTACATATCTTGTTTAACTTTTTTTTTTTTTAGGAAGGAATCAGAATTGCATTTTTGCATCTCGTTTAACCAAGAAAAAGATCAAGTTGAAGTATTAGAGCGTCAAAACAATTATTTTTGTATTGTAAGAAGAATTGTATTGAAATTATCGAACAAAGCTGTCGAAATAACGAAAAAGAAAATGGTGATCTGCAACTGTGTTATTACAAAATACGAAAATCGGTATTTAGAGGATTTTATATTCGAATATGACACCTTTGAATCGTTTATGAGGCTTCGTAATTCGTCAGAAAGTCGGAATTCTTACATCTTTTGTCTCAAAATCAATAAAAAAATAAAAAAAACAGAAAATGATTGATCGCAATCGAAGACCACCGAATTGTCGCAATTTTCCACTCGAAAATTGGTATTCGAGAGTTTTCCAGTTGCGCTAAATTTGGATATGACGTGAGACCCATCAGGAAGAGCTCTGTGCAACCTCTTACTCGATTCGTCATGGTCATATTTATTCGCACGAAAAAAAGAGAACATAATATAAGATTACCGTAACAACATCGTCGTGATTTTTCGCATAAAAGAATTCGATATTCTCAGAAGATTCTCTCCTGAAACGAGTAACCATCCAGAGAGGCATAACCCTCGTCCAGCTGGTTACGAAGCGACCGATCTATGATCGTGAAAACTTTCGAAATAATCTTTGGGTAGATTTTCAATAGGAGGGATGTAAGACCAGGATAAAAAACATGG